TTTTGGTCTGCATGAAAAAAATGGCTACCTGTAGATTGATATGAAAATGTTGCTCATGTCTCTTTACTGGTTACCTGGTCTTTTGTTACGAAAATATATAAACGGGAAATTTACACTAATTAAAATCTCTACTTAATAATATCCATTTTAGATTTTTTTATTATTATTTTAAAACAAAAATCATCAAACAATTTTTTTAATTTTTTTACTTCTGGTTTCTGATTAGAACATTCAATTAACATTATGTTGCAAGCAAGAATAATTGTCGCAAGATTTATGAATTCACAAACTTCTGTGCAGAATTCAAATTAAAACACACTTTACAATCTGGACTATGCCAGGTTACCAATTACCAAAATATCCACTGACTCACTGCAGTATTAATGCTACGTTCAGACCTCACGTTGCAGAAGCAGCTAGTTTACATGCAAAGTCAATAGTTGATGTGCATCAAGGCGCAGCAAAAGTTTTTGCAGTGTTTTTTGACCAGCAGGAGCAGCGCATCTGAGAAGTTGAAGCAGAGCCTCTTGAGCTTCTGAGGCGCATGCAGCTGCTGGACTTGGAAAAATTAAACTTTTGCTGCTTGACGCGCCACATCAACCAATCAGAGACAGACACAGCACTGCTGATGCAGAACGCTATGATCACTCCGCTGAAATAGTTTATTAATTCCTAAACTTGCTTAAAATGTTAAACCTGCCGTCGAAATATGTTCAAGTTTTCTGGTGCCTCTAGTTTGGATTTTGTACATGAAAAATGCCTACCAGCCGCCACGAACAGTAGCGGAAAACCGCGAAGAGACACCCGGGGCCAGAAGCTGCCGTTGAATAGGATTCCCAGTGATAGAGAACTGCCGGTGTACGGGGATCTGACGGCTACAGCAGCAAAATAATATTTGAAGGCAGAATCTTTATCTAGATGAACTGATTGCACAGATGAAGTTTTCAGGAGGACTTTCTCACCAAAAAAAACATTAAAACTAGTTTTTACCCACTGATCACAGCAAATATAGCAGCCATTGTTACAGACAAATAAAGGAGCAGCAAAGATGCTTCAGCCACGCATTACTGCTAAACTTGTACAAGCATCAAAAATGAAGCAGCACGCACATTTTTTCTGCTGACTGTGGTCTGAACATAGCATTAATGTTAGTAATAAATTTCACAGTTCAGAGGCATTTTTTTTTTTCATTTTCTTGTGAAAATAGTCTATCAAAAAGGATTCATGATTTGCTTGCATTTGATATAGCCTATTTAAAAAATTGTAAGAAATAAAGAGGGGGTTTTGTCTACATCAAAAGGAGTTTAGCATCCAAGGGTATGGAATTTAAAGTATTTTCCACTCAAAAGATATAATGATTGTCCAGCTGGTCAGTGACCAGCACATGATGAACGTGGGCTGATATGACCAACAGTAGAGGTCATGAAACTGATTGGAGTAATAATTAAACCAGAGAATTTAAACCAGAGATAATACAGGCACTATTTGTTTTCATAAATCTGCTCTAAAAAATATAGCAACTCACCAAAGCAGATACTTTGTAAAAAATAAAATAATAATAATAACGAGTAACTATTTACAACAGCCTTTAACCCCAATTATACTGATCTATGTAATGCTTCACATTCTAAGGAGATTCTCTAAGCGCTTCGTTTTTAAATGATTATGTGCTAACAAAGCCAAACCTGTTGGCATTGGATCCTAAAAGGATCCCCAGAGGGATTAGAGCACCTGATCAGGAAAGGATTTAGGAGCCTCTGTCATCCAGGTCAAAAAATAGATTAAATACGCATGGCATAGATGAACAGGTGAGATAACCTGACTGATGTCAGACAAGCACAGGCTGATCCCCTGACTAAATTAAATATTACATAGTAAAGTCTGTTGCCTCTGTCCACTTTGACCTTAATTCTTGAACCCTTATGCAACATTTTTTTTTTACCTGGCCAGCTTGTTGAAGATTTAATGTAATCTGTCAAATTTAGATTGAACAAATAAATCTGGAGGTTTTTAGAAATCTCTTGAAAGAGAAAGGAGCAAAAAAAGGACTTCTTTGTTTTGCATATCATTAATAAGAAGTTTTATTTGATTTTTGTTTGTTCTGTTTGTTTTGGCTGATATCTTGTCACAGGCCTTTCACTGAGTACAACAAACAACTCATGATGCATTCCAGTCTATTTGCTTGAAACGTCTGTCACCAAATTTGGCCTTAAACGCAACATGAAAACCTGACAAATAACTTCTGTAAACACCCGAGGCATTAAGGGGTTAAACCGGAGTAATTAAAGCTGTTATTTTAATAGTAATATTAATAAAACAGTTCTTTAAATTAATATTTAATCCTTAAAAATATATATTTTTTTGTTTTTCTTGCCACAATGAAATGATTTTGATGAAAAAGAGAACTTAATGGTTCTGGTCATAATCAAGTCTGTTTGTGGCCAATGAAAAAACGGCTTACTAATTATTTTTATTGGGATACCATCACTTTTCATTCAAAATCAGCTTGGTTTGAAAAACTTTTAGCCCTTTAGAGACAATAATAAAACAGCATCTAAAAAATGCTTCTTGTTTCGGTTTGTGTAATGGAGACTTTCAGCATTTTGCAACATTTGTGTTTTTTTTTTTAAGTTCTTTTTGGCTGTCTGTTGTCATTTATTGATTTAGCATGTATTTATGTTTCCATGGCATAATAATGTATGAGCATCCTGAGTTCCTTTCCTACCTACCGTAGAACTCAGTTATTTTATTTATTTATATAGCGACGTCACAGCACATGTCATCTCAAGGCTCTCTACAGAGACAATTCAACCAGATCATACAGTCAGAATGGTTTAAAGTTTTCTATCTAATCAAAAGCAGCTGATTGTATCGCCTCATTGACTTGAAAGCAATTCCTCACACCAAGCATGCTTGTAGCGAGAGTGGAGAGGAAAACTCCCTTTTAACAGGAAGAAACTTCCAACAGAACCAGGCTCAGTGCCGAGCTAGACTGGGGTTCAAGGAGACAGAAACAGACATAAAAAAAGAAGAAGAAATACAAAAGGCAACTGTCAGTCAGCTCCTCAGGTGGCCCCGTCCAGGAAACACCAGCCAGGTAGACAAGCTCTGAGCCAGCTCCAGAACAGATGGAGAGAGCACATACAGTTAGTCACAGTCAGAGAAACAGGACTACACTGAAAAACGGGCCAAGCTCCAGCATCTATATTCAAAGGCATTGATGGCAGCGGCACAAATTATATTTCTCTCCGGGATGGTGTCAAAGCCAAAAAGGAACAGACCGGATGAAGCTACTATAAGGAAAAACAGAGAGAACATAAAGTTAGAGATTGAACTAAAAAATACTGCAGAGTGGGAGAATAGAGATGCAATGAAGCAGAATGATGAATAGTGGTCCCTATATATTGCCACTATGTAGTTTCTGAAGTAGCAGATCAGAGTGTGGAACTGATGGATGGCGTGTAGCAGCCAGAGGTGGGTAGTTACTAGTTACATTCACATAAGTAACTTTTTTTTTTTTAATGAAATTTTAGTAGTAGTTTTAGAGCATTTTAATTTCTACTTTTACTAGAGTAAAATTATGTTGATACTTTTATTTGACTACATTTTCTGTCTACTCCATCCATTTAGAGTAATCCACTGAGAACAAGCTTGTTTTAAACAAAACATCTTTGTAGTCAAGACTCATTGGTTAAATGTTATTTTCCAACTGAATTGTTTGCCGTATCGTTGGAGGCTCAGTGATAATACAGTAAACTGATTATTGTAATTTAACCTACTCTTTCATAGTCTAGTTATTGATTTTGTAAGTTAAATAACTAAAAAATATTAAATCAGCTGTTTTGAACATTGGTAGCCAGTACATCTCTTACTCTGTACTTGAGTAGCCTTTTTACCAAATACTTTTTTACCCTAACTTGACTAATTTCTTCAAAGGCTATTTTTTTTTTATTTCTAGTTGAGTAAAGTAGTGCTACTTGACTTAAGTCCCATTTGTGGGTACTCTAACCACCTCTGGTAGCAGCTTAGTGTCTTTAATTACATAGAAATATGCTCAGGCAATACATAGGAGATATTATCCCAGGGGTGGCGATACAGTCCCTGCTTCAGCCTCTTCTGATCGAGGTAGTGTCCTGTAGGAAAGATGGACAAAATGGAGTCGTCAAGCTCTACAGCTTTCTTTGCATTTATGTTTGAGTCAGTCGGAATACTGCAAATGGGTAATCACTCTTTAGCCAAATGGATTGTGTCAGCATGATAAGAGGTGTCTGAATAGTGCTTGTGTTGGAAAAGGAATCTGTATCCTTCCTATCATACTTCGTTTAGCATAGGGAACTCAAAATATCACAATATCCAGATATAATGAATCCTACAATCCTCTATGTGACATGACATATAAGCAGAAATCTGACTTGAAGAAGTGAACAAAAGATTATTGCTTCATCTGTACTGTATATGAAACATGCAGATGTTCTCTTCTTCATTTACTTTGGGTCTCCTCGAAGAATGTCTTCCTGAGTCTGCAACACTTTATGATACTTGTCATTTTTCAAGGGTTAGTTTTATTTCTTTACATAACCACAGTTCTGTAACTGGTTTAAAAATATCCCCACATTTCAAAAATAGAAAATGAACAAAAATTACATAAGTACATTTTTAGAAATGTTCAACCTCAACAAGGCATCACAAGAATCCTGCCTGAAGCTTGGGCATGCCAGAGATAATAAGGAATGCGAGATAAGCGAGCTATTGAATAACATTAATGCAAAGACTGTGGAATGACTTAAACCTTGATGCATAATCTTTATTAAGCAGTATTCCACAAGTAAAGCTAACAGACTAAAATAGGCTATGAAACCACCTCTTTTTGTGTACTTTTCTTACAAAACTCACTTTATCAACTTTGTCCCAGAAGCTAAAATTAGAAGAAGCAAATATTGTTCTTTTGATCTAGGCAAAAGTCTGCAGATAAAGTGGGAGTTTGAATGACATTTCTGGAATTATTGATCATCTGAAAAAATGATCTGGCTCAAAGCTGTTATGTAATTCATTCCATCCGGTTCTGAGACTTTCAGGTTGGTGAGAGGCGGCATGACGCTGTTGGTGAAGTATCTGAATGCAGGTTTGGTTGAATGGATGGCTTCTAGAAATACCTGCAGAGAAAAAAAATCAAAGATGTGAGAAAACATATGCAATAATTATAAAATGTATGTATTTATTATTATTATTATTACAAATGGTGAAAAACTATTTGGATAAGCTCCATAACTTTATCTTTCCTCCAACTGAGTCACTATCAACAGGATTACAATTAGTAATGGCGGAAAACAAGAATTTAAAGCCCGCCATGTACTTTCAGTGATTTAAGATTGCTGCTCAATCTTATTAAAATCCACATTACTGAATCAACCAGCAATGCTAACAATGAGTTTTGGATCAGGATACGCTGCTATTCTGACAACGTCATTTCCAGAATAGGTACGTTTTACTTCAACAAGACGATTTTAAACTACTTATTTTATCCTGTTTTATCTTTTTACAAATAAATAAACAGTAATATTCTTTTTAAAAGTTTTTAATTAAGAAAAAAAATCTTAACTTCAATTGGTTTTTGCTTTTGTTTTAGGTCAGCTGGATTTGAATAAGTTTCTGATTTTATTTTGTCTTATATGTTATTATTTTTAAAACTTATCCTTTGTAATAATTTTGTTGACCTAATATTATTCGGTAGTCTTTGCTGAAGCTGGTGGTGTATGGGGCTGTTTTGACTTCTATGTATATTTTAGGGTACATGAAAATATCATTTTTACACTTTATTCTGTTGAACCGTAGTTCTAATTTTACAGCTGCAAAGTAGTTATTAATTAGTTATATTATATCCATTTTTTTTCCTTTTCTACGGAAAGCATTTATGTAGCCTTATAAACCTAGCAGGATTTTGACACAATAAGATTCTTAGATTTTTAGTGTTTTTCAATCAATAAAAGACAAATGTTGTGCATTATGACACTGGAGAGTATGGAAATCATTGCAGTAAAGCATTATCATTAGAATTACATATATATTACAGAATAGTTCTCTACCAAGGAATAGCTGTTTAATCATTAGACCTTAGGGTGCACTGATTGCAGCTTTCTGGCCGATCGCCGATTCCTAATCTCTAAAAAGCCGAACATGCCGATTTTGATTTTGATCAATGCCGATTTTTTTTCCATAGCCGACAGAGTCAGTTGTTATAAGATCATAAAACACTTAAATATTTTAATATTTTCTTAATGAAAGGCATGTATAAGTACACATGAAATAAGAAAGACTGTTATCAAATATGAATCAATGTTTAGAGCATTGATTTTCAGACATTTGCGGACTTTTGGAAAAGATCAGTTTCACATCAAGTATTGGCCGATCACGGATCTTCCAAAATGAAAGAAATCAATGCCAATAAATACTTTGTGGTACATGTGTTCATGGGTTGTGTGATGTGATTTTATTTTATTGCAGTCTCATGTTATGTAATTCATTTTACCGAACTTAATTTATTTCTGCAGTGCGGTTAGTGATGAGGATATCATAGTGCTAGAGACCCCTTGCACACCTTTACAATGTCTTCGGTGTCTTGTGCAGCGTTTTGGAAAACCATGCTGCAGTGTTGCAGGTATTTTTCATACAGACTGAGCGTTTGGCCATCAACCTGTTGAAGAGATTCATCCCCGAGCTCCGCCTTCTGCAGGTTAACGAGAAAGTCACTATTGACTGGACCACACTCAATGAGACTGACTCTGTGAAACAAAAACATTTCATTTAGTCTGTTCTAAGTTAGATTTAGTTATTGAACAATTCTTAAGCATGCTCATTTACAAAATTCAGTTAAAATGGCCATTAAAACTCACTGGATATTAAAGTGTTGCAAAAGAACAGCCAGACTCTCGCATGCTCCCTCAATTGCAAACTTACTGGCACAGTACACTTCATTAAATGGAAGACCTGCGAGAACATTCAAGTAAGCTGTTTAGGAAAAAAATTAACATAACTCCTTTTTGGTTTGTTTAACTCACCATGAAGTCCTCCTGTGCTGCCAGTAACCAGAATCCGGCCCTGACCTTGAGCTTTCATGTCTGACAAGAAGACCTGAATGGTCTGAATGGTGCCGAGAAGGTTGACCTCCAGAATATGCTTCATTGAGTCTAAGGACTGAATCTCCAGAGGTCCCATTAAACCAACACCGGCGTTACAGACTGTAAATATAGAAAATGGGGCCATTAACACCTGGAAATGGCAACCAATCCAATTTGAAGGAAATAACAGAGGCTCAGGAACAAACCTAGAATGTCCACCCGTTTCTCCACCACTTTTTCTCGCGCGTTCATGATGGATTGCCTATCAGTCACGTCCATTTGAAGGATTTCCAAAGTATCGCGGTGTAGGCCTTTTACACTCTCTAAGAGACGTTCTTTCTTGGCCAGGTTCCTCATTGTGGCATAAACTAAAACAAAAGGCATAGGCCATGTTTCTGCTTTATTTAAAAAAATGCATAGAACAGTGAAGGAATTGCAAGAAACGTTATAAAATCTGATAGAGTGACAAGGTATTTTGTGTTCATTTGTAATTAAATAGCTTTACCCAATTTAAAGCTCTTGAACAATGCATCAAGATTATAACTAAAAAGTGTTGTCTGTTGTTACCTTTGAATATTTTGCTGGAGTCTGAGGCCAAACGCACAGCCAGGCTGAGTCCAATCCCAGAGGAGCATCCGGTAATCAACACTACTTTCTTGTCCGCGGACATGATGGCGTCTCAAAAATGTTGTATTGACAAAGAAAGTAGCTGCTGCAAGGTACAGACAGTCAAACTAAGTGAGACAATGGGATTTGAGGCTGGTGAAATTTGCTTTCTGACCATCACAAGGCCATGCGTTATCAACCACCTGGTGCTCCATTTTTTTTTTCTCATGACCTTGTAAGTCAGGATTGTTTTATTTTTATTAGAGATGTGTGGGAGACAAAACCTTGTTTTTGTGTGTTATGTAAAAGTTTCCAGCAGTATTAATGAGAAGGTCCAATGATTGGTTGGAGGGAATGACATCATGACCGATCTAAGCCCATCTTTGTTATTCTGTCTGTGCTTTCACTAAGCACCAGATGGCAGCACAAGATCACAATGTCACTATTGTCCCCTTTAGCAAATAATTTATGATTTATTGACCAAAAATCAACAATAGGTTTAAGCCTGACACAGCACCAATACAGTAAGATCTCTAACTTATAGACCTAACCTATTTTTTTTACAGATTGGTGATGAGTGATGTAAGGTTAGCTCATAATTGTTGTTTTCTTCATACCTTGTCTACAGTGCAGTCTCTAAAATGCCTTCCTGGCATGAAACCTCAGTGAGAGGTACTTAACTTATGCAAACATGAAAAAGTAGGACTTCTGACCCCGATTAAAGGTGTGCCCTGATTTAGTATAACATATTTAAAAACACTTAATGCAGTGTACCATGCAAATGTTTATTTTTAAACTGCCACCCACAGCCCAGGATTAGACATAACATCAATGGTTTTCAATTAATTTATTACACTCAGGGCAGAGACATCTCTATTTTTTTTTTTTTTTTTTTATCTAAAAAATCTCTTTATTTGAAGATCAAAGGGTTACCAGCAGGTGGCATTGTGTGCAATATATTCATTTGAGAGAGTTGATTTCTGACTTAACTGTTGTTTACATGACCATCTGAGCCATTTGGAACAGTCACGTCCTTATTTCAGTTTCTAATACATAGAAAAATATTGAATAGTAACTGAAAGCTTTTTACTCTCCATGCAAAAGAATGTTAATCTTTAGCATGTTCACTTTTAAGCTGAATAGGATTGTGGGCACAGTGAACAGCCCATGTTGGCCACAATTACATGACAATTCTTCAACAAATCATTGCGTTGTTTGTAAGAACAGCTTGCATATTTGTGAAACTGCTTGGCAGCCAGATTTAAAAAGAATTTCTTTTTTTTGATGGGAGCAAACCAAGAAGGAATTTCCTGCCATTTTGTTGCGTTCCTCTCCTTGAGATGGCATCAGTTTGGCTGCTGTCCCACAGTCTGCAGGACAGATAACAGTGAACATTGAGCCTCTTAGAAAAATCTACAACTCCCATGTATTGTTTTAAGCTTTTGAACTGAGTGACCTAAGTTGGAATTTAGCTGTTTTATTTCTTGAAATTTTGGGATTTGTTGTTTCCATTTGAACTACAGAGGCAGACCATAGTTTTGCCTGTCTGATTCATATTGCATGCTCTACCTAAGAACATTGCAATGCTAAAAATGACAATGAGCCAACATGTGAATGGAGGAACATGAAATGTTTCCTTGCTCAGCCTTGTGTCCTGTTTATAACAGTCTACTCTCAAACAAATGAGCTGCAGTCAGAAATGCTAGCTGTCTGTCTTTGGATCAATTCTATCAACACAGTGAAAGCACCAGTTTTTTTTGGAAGATTCTTGCCACACATGACCTGCAGTTTCTCTGAGGCACAATAATTATCAGGAGGTCCACTGGAAGTGCACAGTGACCCAGAAAGACATTAAAATTACTCTCTGGCAAGGCTAACCCACATCACAAGGGCAAACAGACTTTTAAAAAGTCTACAGCTGTGAGGAGAGCCAGAGGAAAGTTATCCCACGTGCACAGCCACATGCCTTTGTGGCATTTTACAGAAAAAAAGTGAAAGCTCATTTAAGATATTTGATGCAGAGGATTGCCATTTGGACTCTGCATTGAAACCAGTTTAAGACTGGAAAAAGATTGGCTCTACAGTCACCTGAGGCCTTTGCATTCTTATGCTAATCTGGTGAAAGACTGTGAGTCCAGAGGAGACTCATGAATGCATGTCGACTTAGAATAAGAGTTGTACTTTAATAAAGGGAACAGAAGCAGATGTGTTCGACAGGATGTCCCATGTGAGAGTAGTGAGTAGAAGTGAAACAACTATAGACGCGCTGTGGTGCATGCGGTAAAGTTAAATGGCACGCTATACCTGACAAATGTAGATGAAGCTTTTTGGTTGATGTTTTATTTCTCACAAGAGAATAGTTTACAGTTTAAATATCAAATCCATCTTTTGAATCTGATAAGAACTTACATTCTTTTCTTCATGTTCTTCACGTGATGATTTCAGGGATCCTAGTATGAGGAAAGAGATACAGCTTCCTCGTATCTAGGATACTGAAACATAACAGACACGTAGTGTTTGATCATATCAACAATGGCATGTGTATGATGGTATTAAGCTTCAAACTGTACTGAAAATATGACATAATGGGAAATTTTGTCCCACTGTCCAAATGTAAAGAAACCCACATCTGTGCAACTAAAACATATCACTGCTAAGCATTTTTCCCTTTTGTTTGCATGACATGTTTTATTGAAAAAAAAAAAACATGCTTTCCTGATAGGGTAGGTTTTATGTATATATGCACTTAAATATGGCACTCATTTCTATGACAGTTACAAAAGTCTGCTGTAGTGCCTGACGGAGTGCATTGTGAAAGTGGTTGAGAAAATGAACATATAGGATGTGGCTTTGGTTTCTTTTCTGATCTTTAAATTGTTCACCTCTGACAACCTTGGTGCTTGTAACTCTCTTTTTGTGAAAAACAAAAATGTATGGTAAGGTGACAAAAGAGACAAAGGTTACAATTGTTTCTTGATAAAATCATCTTGGCTGAAAATAGAAAAGCTATGTGGAAAATCTAAATACTTGTGACCTCACATACAGCACTCTGATAGAAATAAATAGCCATCTGACAGATGGCATATCTTTTAGTTTCAGATCAACAATCAGTGTTTTAGTTCATAGAAGAATACAATGAAAGAAACTATCCAAACTAACCGTACTCTATTTGAAAGTCATCACCACATGTGAAATAATAGATAAATTATGATTGATTCCTTTAGCGGTATCCTGGACTGATGAGCACAAGAGAAGCAGAATCAAGAATTGTTCAAATACAACCTGTTTGGAAACATGAAGTGGGCTGAAAACATTATCAGATCTAAAGAACAATGCATTACTTACAGAGGAATGTATATGTCTTAGTCAGCAATTTGAGAATTGGGATGCCAGTAAACCATATTAACTGTAAAACTACTTCCTGAAACATTGTTTGCTCTTTCATTACTGGACAGACTGATTAATCCAGGTGTGTCTGTCCAGTGTTACCATGGTTACCAGGTCAGACGCTCTTTATTTAATCAATCTGTACAGTGATGAAAGACAGGAAACAAAGGTTCTGGTTGAAGTTCAGAAAGTAGTTGGCTGAATCCCAAATCGCCCCCTTCTAATACCACTTAACTATCGAGGATCACTTCTGATAAAGCCGCACTTTGGGCTTTGGAAGGCACCTTGATTGAATATGGTGGTGGGGGGTATAAACAAGAATGGGATAGCATCTTCCCTCCAACTGAGAAGGAAAGCAGTCGATGCTATAGCAATGAGATGACACAATGAGATGTGCGTGGCTGTAACTGTGTGGCGCAGGTTGATATGAGATTAATTATTTTAATGCACATGTTTCCTCCGCCATTAGGTCGCTGTTACACCTGCTGCCAAATTCCAGCAGGTCTGCACTGATGCTGACTCGCTCTTTAAGGGTTTAACGGTCCACTCGACTTACCCCCTACGATGTTTTGAAAGCTCTTTAATGTGGCGGACCCTCCTCGGATGCTTCAGGATGATTAGTTTTACATTTCAAAGGGGAAATCAGAGGGAGGTACTTTCATTAAACACTTATAAGCACTTACAATCTGCTCAGAAAAACTTGTGTTATGCAGCAGGACAATGATTTAAAGCAAATCAGTGAGTGCACCTTTGACTAACTGATGGATTTGGAATGGTCAAGTGAAAGTTCGGTCTTCGTTCTCTTTAAGATGCTTTGGCATGATGTAGGACAGGACATTCATTTTCAGAAAGTATGAGGATACAATTTTAATTCACAACTTTGTGAAATAAGTTATACCTATTTTAATTCAAAAGCAAGATCTTTACAAGTATGATGCAGTGCAATATGTTAGTAGTTTATTTTTTGCAAGTTCCACAGAAAATACAGGAGATAATGATCAGCATTTGGCACAAAGCATTTTTCATCCTTTCTTTGTAAACCACAAAGTATGAGGACACTTTCATTCCTCTCTAAAGCTGTAGTTCGTTCGTGTCTCATCAGTTCATATTTCATACTTTTTCAAAGAGGAAAAAAATTGAGATTAGTGAAGGTTTATAGTACTCAGAACGACACAAGCTTTGACGTCAGCTGCAACCCTAAGGTCCACAGTTTGACCCTCTGGCTTGGCAGTCCCTCAGACCTGTTTGTATACAAAACCTTAGTCTTCCAAGGAATGGCAGCAATTGTGTCATGGGAAATGTCCCTTGAATCAACTATGTGAAGAATTCTCTTCACATAAGACATCCTGTTCTTTCTCTCTGGACTTTTTGGCACTCGGATCTGTCTGCTGGGGATCAGACTTGACCCGAGTTTAACCAAAAGCTTTGATATCATAATTACAGCTCAAACAGTAGGTTAGAGGACACAGTCAGAGCTTATGCATTCCACTCACAGCTGCATTACATAGAGGGGAACGCTGTTTTGTTGATGAGCTCACGTTTCTGAGCTGTGTATGTGCAAACAAAATTCATTACCAGCTTTTTTTTTTAAAAAGCTGGCAGGTTGATATTCAAAGCTAAGATGTGATCATTCAGGATTTACCTGGTCCTATCCGTCATCTGACAGAGAGTGTAAGAAAGACACTAATGGCTTTAAAACTGACCCAGTTTCAA